TTTCTTTCTTTCTTTCTTTCTTTCTTTCTTTCTTTCTTTCTTTCTTTCTTTATTAAAAATTTCCACCTCCTCCCCACCTCCCTTTTCCTTCCCCCTCCCCACCTCCCCCTCCCTCTCTAGTCCTAGGAACAGTCAGGGTTCCCTGCCCCATGGGAAGTCCAAGGTCCTCCCTCCTCCATCCAGGTCTGGTTTGCCAGTATTTTATTGAGAATTTTTGTGTCGATGTTCATGAGTGAGATTGGTCTATAATTCTCTTTCTTGGTTGAGTCTTTGTGTGGCTTTGATATCAGGGTAACTGTAGCTTCATAAAAAGAATTTGGCAATGATTCTTCTGTTTCTATATTGTGAAATACATTAAGGAGTATAGGTATTAGCTCTTTTTGGAAGTTCTGGTAGAATTCTGCATTGAAACCATTTGGTCCTGGGCTTTTTTTGGTAGGGAGGTTCTTTTTTTTTTATTCATTTTTTTTCCGTTAGACTTGTTTATTCAAGTATCTGAAAACACTCTTTCCACTTCCTCCCCTCCTCCCAATACCCTCCTGCTCCCTCCACTCCCCCCACTCCCTCTCCTCCTCCCTCACCATTCCCCAGAGCAGTCAGGGTTTCCTGCCCTGTGGGAAATCCAAGTTCCTTCCCCCTCCCTCCAGGTCCAGGAAGGTGAGCATCCAAACAGGCCAGGATCCCAAAAAGCCAGTCCATGCAGACGAAACAAGACCCAGTGCCATTGTCAATGGCTTCTCAGTCTTATTTGGACCTTGGGTGCTCAGTCAGCCCTCATGTCAACCACATTCAGAGAGTCCGGTTTGATCTCATGCTCATTCAGTCCCAGTCCAGCTGGCCTTGGTGAGCTCTCATTCGATCAGTCCCCTTGTATCAGTGGGTGAATGCACCCTTCGCGGTCCTCACTTCCAGTGCTCCAATGTGGGTCTCCGTCTCTATCTCCATCCATCGTCAGATGAAGGCCCCCTCTGATTTTGCTTTCCTTGCTCACGATCTCCCTCCCTCTGCTTCTCATTTGGGCCTAGGGAGTTAAGTCCAGTGTTCCAATATGTGTCTCTGTCTCTATCTCCATCCATCGCCGTATGAAGGTTCTGTGGTGATATGCAAAATATTCATCAGTATGGTTATGGGTCAAGGCCAGATCAGGCACCCTCTCCTCTGCTGCCCAAAGTAAAATCTGGGGACTTCTCCTTGGGCCTGGGGACCCCTCCAGAATCAAGTCTCTTGCATACCCTAAAATGGCTCCCTTAGTTGAGATATAAACTTCCCTGCTCCCATAACCATCCTTCCTCCCTACCCTCCTCCCATTCCCCCAAGCCATCCCCGATACTCCCCCTCTCCCCTCTCCCTAACCATCTCCCCATACTTCCACCCCCCCACCCCCCGTGCACCCAAGTTTGCCTGGCAATCTTGACTACTTCTAATATCGAGGAGGATAACTATATGATTTTCTTCAAGTTCACCTTCTTATTCAGCTTCTCAAGGTTAACAAATTATAGACTCAAAGACCTTTAACTATGGCTAGAATTCACTTATGAGTGAGTACATACCATATTCCTCTTTTTGGTCTGGGTTGCCTCACTCAGTAAAGCGTTTTCTACTTCCATCCATTTACATGCAAAATTCAAGATGTCATTGTTTTTTACCGCTGAGTAAAACTCTAATGTGTATATGTTCCACACCTTTTTTAACCATTCTTCTATTGAGGGGCACCTAGGTTGTTTCCAGGTTCTGGCTATTACAAATAATGCCGCTATGAACATAGTTGAACAAATACTTTTGTGGTATGACAGGGCATCTCTTGGGTATATTCCCAAGAGCGGAATTGCTGGGTCCTGAGGGAGGTTGACTCCCAGTTTCCTGAGAAACCGCCACACTGATTTCCACAGTGGCTGCACAAGTTTGCATTCCCACCAACAATGGATGAGTGTTCCCCAAACTCCACATCCTCTCCAGCATAGGCTATCATTGGTGTTTTTGAGTTTAGCTATTCTGACAGGTGTAAGATGGTATCTCAAAGTGGTTTTGATTTGCATTTCCTTGATCGCTAAGGAGGTTGAGCATGGCCTTATGTGTCTTCTGGCCATTCGGAGTTCTTCTGTTGTGAATTCTCTGCTTAGTTCAGTACCCCATTTTTTAATTGGGTTAATTAGAGTTTTAGTGTCTAGTTTCTTGAGTTCTTTGTATATTTTGCAGATCAGACCTTTGTCTGATGAGGGGTTGGTGAAGATCTTTACCCAGTCCGAAGGGAGCCTTTTTGTCTTACTGACAGTCTCCTTTGCTTCACAGAAGCTTCTCAGTCTCAGTAGGTCCCATTTATTCATTGTTTCTCTTATTGTCTGTGCTACTGGGGTTCTACTTAGGAAGTGGCTTCCTGTGCCTATATCTTGTAGACTACTTCCCACTTTCTCTTCTATCAGGTTCAAAGTGGACAGATTAATGTTGATGTCTTTAATCCATTTGGACTTGAGTTTTGTGCATGGTGATAGATATGGATCTATTTTCATTCTTCTACAGGTTGACATCCAGCTATGCCAGCACCATTTGTTAAAGACGCTTTCCTTCTTCCATTGTATACCTTTAGCTCCTTTGTCGACAATTAGGTGTTCATAGGTTTGTGGGTTAGTATCTGGGTCTTCTATTCGATTCTATAGGTCGACTT